GGACTCTGAAGTTTGGTGTGCGACTCATGCTTTGATGTAAGTCTATAGCACAGTAGTGATGCATCTGAGAAGTTACTGCATCCTTAGTGAGGGCCAAAGTACTTATCTAAGGGTGAGAACCTAGATATCATTTCTCTAGTTTACACGATGGTCTAGTTATTTAAAAAGAGGTCTTAGATGTCTAGTTTCCTGCCCCCCAAAGCCAAAGATAGCCTATGAGAGGAAGATGCAGGGTGTTGGGGGAGGAGGGAATGGGGACTGCCAAGGATGGCCAAAGGAGGGGCTTGGCCAGCAGCCAGAGGCAACAGAAAGGTCTGAAATGCCCAAGAACTTGACAGTATTTGGATGAAACCAAGGGCAATTTCATAGCTGCCATCCAAGACCTCTCCTGCCCCATGGCTTCCACCTGCCCCTTCCTTTCACCCTGCTGCAAGCTGAATGGGAAGAGGAGAGGGCATGGCAAGTAGTGCTTGGCTGTTAGCCTAAAGCAAGCTGGAGTTGGAAGAGAGGAGAGGCTCTATTTTAAACACACTATAAAAGTTCTGGCTATTATACAAGACTGGACTTATAAGGTACTGAAATGAGACCCATACTATAAGAGACTAGGTAGCTGCTCTGGAGAAATTATGGGACCTGCCACAATTTTCTCTCTGAAGGCAGCTTACAGTGGGGCACGTGAGACCAAGCAAAGTTGCTTTAGGATTACAGTATTCAGTCACTCTAGTTCAGTTCAACAGTGTTTGCTAATCCATCCCAAATCATCATATCCTATGTTGCCAGAAAGGCCAGAGTTGAGGCAAATTGCCCTGGGTCACTTGTTGACAATTCCAGAATTAAGGTTCATGGCAGGATGTAGGCCTACAAAGCATTCCAATTGCTACCTAAGCTTTTGGTGTATTGCTTTGCAGTCCCTGTTTCTGAGCTGGTGGCCTTCTTACTATCTGTAAGCCTTTATCTTTAGTCAAAGACAAATAAATAATGTTAAGCTATGCATATGGACAGAGTGGAGGAGCAGAGTTGTTCATTCAAGCAAGAGAAGGGAGGAGCAGGTGGGAGGTGGTAATTGGTTCCTGCAGCGATAGAGGCTTGTCAACAGCACAGAAGGGAAGGATGAGGGGGGATGCTGCAGTGGCATGCCAGCAGTCCCTAGTGTCCCTCACAGCTGTTCTTAGATGCAGTCTATAGTCTAGGTGTCCATAGACCCCTGGAGACCCTCTTGATTCTCCTAGGCAAGTCTGATGTAAATGAACTCCTTTTGTGAGAGAAGACTACAGATACAAGGAGTCCTTTTCCCAGCAGCCTTGCCCCAAGGCATCTCACCTGCCATGAACCCTCTTAAGGACCCTCTACAAGGAGGTGGTAAGAAGCACTGTGCTTATAAATAAAAAGGCTTTTTAAACTCTGTCCTTTTTGTGCAAGTTGGGAATTCTTTTTGACCATTAGTACAACGAGAATCACACGCAACAAGTCACTTAGAAAAAAATGACTTTAAAAAAAGATTTATGTGTACCTGTGAGTGCCTGTTCCACTGGATCACAATCTGTAGTTTGTGAGTAGCAGAGCCTGGATTCTCAGCCGCCCTGTCTAACTTAACTCCATGCTCTGCACCACTGCAGCCAAATGCCTGTGCTTGTCTGGGATACCTCCTGTGTGTGTGTCAGCTTCCAGTGGCAGCCGTTCCCCTACCTGGGGCCACATCTTGCTCTGCCATGGGCTGTCACTAAGCTTCATCAATTACAAGTTGAAGGCAGTTTTTGGTGAATGTGACTGACGGGTTTCACTATCTTTAGCCTTACAGAAACACCAGAGTCCTCCTATTATCCTCAGAGTGTCTACCATTTGGAAGGCTGAGCAAGTGCTAAATGTAAAATAAATGTCAATAAAATCATGTGTTGAATTTAAAGAAACATTGCTAGAGATGCTGGGATTATGCTGGAAAATTAGCATACCAACTTTAGACTGTTATCTTTTACCACGACCTTGAGAGATGAGAGAAAGCTACTGAGAAAAACCATTGGGCCAACTAGATAGTTCAGCAGGTTAAGGTGCTAGCTGCCATGCCTGATGACCTAAGTTCAATGTCTGGGACCCACATAGTGAAAAGAGAGAAATGACTCTTCAAAGTTGTCCTTTGACTGCTACATGTGCACCTGTGGGAGCACACACATGTGCACACACACATAAATGTTAAAAAAAAATTAAAAATTTGGAAAATAAAATCAGAACCTATATGCAAGTTGCAAGTGTGGCCAATGAAAAAATAGCCCCAAACCATTTCATTTCAGATTCCAAAGGAAACTGAATGAATGGAAAGTATAAATGGAAAGAAATGCCCCCTTTGAAAATATCCAGTTAATCACAACAAAAGGAAGGGCCACAGGCAGCAACCTGCCACTGTGACCAATGCCTACATCCCTACATCCTGACTTTGAGAAGGCAGCAGTAGGGCATAGCCTCCTGGATGACCATGGACTCTTGGCAATAATCCTTACCTTTTCCACTTCAGTGTTAAACACGACCTCTGTGAAGAGTCTGCCTTGCTCATTCTTCCAATACAGCATTAGTGAGCACCATTTCTATGTCATGCCCTAAGCCAGAGGCTGCAGATACTGTAATGAACAAGACAGTGTCCTTTCTGTTGGAACTTAAGAATACAACTAGTATCCAGTTATAATTGTGACAAGTGCCATGAAGGAGAAACAGAATCAAGAGAGCATATATCAGTGTGGAAGGTCAAGCAGAGAGAGTCAGGATAAGGATTCAGCAGAGTGAGGAAGTGGAGCATAGAGCTAGTGGTCCAATGGTTGTTCTTAGCCTTTTAGGAAGGCCTTGGGATGGGAAGAACAATTAGTACTGGACAGCAGGAAGTGAGAGTGGTGAGGCAGAGCAGGGCGACCATGTAACAAACACAATTAGCTGTATGCCCATTGGGGAAATACCAAGTCTGAAGGCCAGGCAACAAGTCCTAGGCCGGCTAATGCAAGCAAGCCAGCTAATCATGTGGGCTCATTTTCAGGAAGCTCTCTCTTGCATTTCAGGGACCTAGACAGGGAGTACTTATTGTCCACTTACAAGCCCCATGTTGTAATAATAATCTAATCATAGTAGGAAAAAGTAGCCTGGTGGGTCAGTTGAATCAGGCAGGCAGAAGTTGAAAATGACATGTCTTGGATTCCCAACTTGAGAATTAGGCAATCATAAAATGTCAGAGCTACCTGCTGTCCTCCCAGTACAACCTCTGAGAAGTGAAACCAGAAGCACAGGTAAGGATAGGCCTAGCATTCAATAAACCCCAACACTCCACCTCCCAACTTCAAGTCTATCTGCCTTGCCCCCTCTGCAGTCAGTCAAAATGGATTGACTCTTGTATGAAAAGCAATGTTTCCACAAACATTCTCTGTATTGGGCAGATATTCAATAACCTAATTTAGGTGGCTACTTTTCACTGAATTCTCCAAAGTTTTATGTAATGAAACTTCCACCACAGCTTTACTTTAGGGTTGAGGACACAAAGATGTCTGATGGTGAAGGGTTGCTGACAAAAGGATGACTTCAGGACCCTCATTTCTCTCTGAGGAACCTTGTAAACTCAGAGTCACTGCTGACCCAACAGCTGCGGATGTTAATGTCAGTGCTGAACTGAGGCCTTTCCTTTCTTCTGTATTATTTCCTCAGAAAACGTTTAGAAACTAGAGTATAGATTAAACTGGGGTAGTCTTATACCTAATCCAAACTGGACATCTGTTAAAGCTGGAGTCTATAAATTCAAGATTTCATGATTAAGGGACTTAAAATTTAGAGCTACACACCCAAGGCAACGGACTTGTTATACACCAGCTTGCAAATGTCACTGCAGGAACCTTGTGAAAATGCAGATACCTGGGCCCTCCCAAGGGACTCTAGTGTGGGTATCGTAAGCCATCTAAGAAGCCCCCTTTTGAGAAACATAGCAAATAGCAGCAGCAATCTCTGGTTAAAAGGCAAACATGTCACTAGAGTATCCCATTGAAGTCATTACCTATAGACTCTGTATGTCCCTCAGGAGACTGCTGTGGTAACATGAGGCCCTAATTTAGCCACAACTCAGCTTTTCTTTGTAAACTCGAAAGTTCGAGATATATGTCCATTTAATAATGGTGTACCAATATTGAGGTCAAAGAGCACCAGGGATCTCAATGGAATTCTCTAGAAGGACCATGCTACACAGAGATGAAGTTTGTGTAGTGGCGTCTTGAGTTACAGAGTGAACGTGATCTTGTCTTAGGAGTTAGAAGGCCTCTGCACTTTTAATACATGAGCCAATTTTTAAAAAAATTTACTTTATGTAAAAGATAATTTTGCCTGTGTGTATGTCTGTACACTGCTGTGGGATGTTCTGTATGGCAAATGTGTTGCTGATTGGTCAATAAATAAATCACTGATTTGGCCAGTGGCCAGGCAGGAAGTATAGGCGGGACTAACAGAGAGGAGAATTGAGAGAACAGGAAGCTGGGTGAGGGAGACACTGCCAGCCGCCGTCAGGACAAGGAAGATGTAAAGTACTGGTAAGCCACAAGCCACGTGGCAAGGTATAGATTAATAGAAATGGATTAATTTAAGCTGTAAGAACAGTTAGCAAGAAGCCTTCCACGGCCATACAGTTTGTAACCAATATAAGTCTCTGTGTTTACTTGTTCCGGTTTGAGCGGCTGTGGGACTGGCGGGTGAGAGAGATTTGTCCTGCCTGTGGGCCAGGCAGGAAAACTCTAGCTACAGTACACCATTGTGTGCTCCTGGACTGAAGTCAGACAGTTGTGAGCTGTCATGTGGGTGCTAGGAATTGAACCCGGGTCCTCTGGAAGAGCAGTTAGTGCTCTCAACCTCAACCTCTGAGATTTCTCTCCAGTCCCAGTTAATGTTTCAGAAAAACTCCAGAGAAGAAAGTTAATCAACGTATTCTGTCACATGACCTCAATACTAACATTTTTTAGTTTACAGTGATACACAACACAGTTACTCACTTTTTTTTGGATGCTGGAGACAAACATCTTTATTAAAGATACTACCAAAATTTTGGCAAACATTTCAAAACAGATTTGTAAACATAATGCTTCCCTTTTCAACCGGCAGCACTTTGAAAAGACAATACAAGACAACACAACCTGAATCAACATTAGTTCAAAATCCTTATATTCTGACCACATAACTTATGTTCCCACATGATAAGACGAGATAGTTTAAATCAACGTTAACAGATAAACTCCATGAAATGAAAGTTTGTGCTGTTTGATGAATCACAGTATGTTATGGTTAAATATATCTACTCTTTTTTTATAGTCCTGGTATCCAGGATGAAAAAAAATCTCTTAAATATACATCTGATGTAGGTAATAGCTTCTTTGCATATCTCTCTTCAAAAAATACTTTATAGCAGTATATAAATAGGTTACCTACACATTTAATTTTATCATTTTGCCCCAAAACTATAGATCTGTTTCATTTTTATAACATATCAATTTTTTTGCCCAACATTAATAAAGCTGACAAACTGTTGAAATGGAAATGCTTTGTCTTCTACAATAGAAGGAGCAATTTGACAGAAACAAACAAACAAACAAACAAACAAACACCAACAACCTACTGTAACACTCATCAGTTGTTTAACCTGAGCGTCCGGCCTACTGAGGAGCAGCCTTTTACCTTCATACAGCTCACATCCACATCGGTTCTGCAGACATACAAGCTGAACACAACACGCATTCTGACGCTGGTAGGCCACAGTGTGCTTCCTGTGGCTGTTAGCACAGGGAAGCAGTGTAGCTATTGATTAACCACACGATGTACACACTAGCAAACACCTTAAGGCAGTCATTGCAATGGGGGGTTTTACTTGCAGGGCAGATTTAACACTCTAGAGCCAGTCAGCCCATATGTATGTATGTATGTATGTATGTATGTATGTGCATAGGAAACTACACACATATTCACACAACTTTCTATTTTTCAACCCTCCAAAACAATGTTTTGATTTTTTTGAATTTTGTGCATATGTCTAAATATTCTACCATTTAAGGCAAAGAGTTTGCATTAAGAAAGGTCAGAAAATAGGCTTATGAAAAGCATTTCACCTTGCACATTACTGTTTTGTTTTGTTTTGTTTTAAACACAAGCAACTCTTAAGTGTGGACATTGCATCCCTGATACCTAAAAAATCATATCTAATGACAAACACAAGTTTTCAAGGAAAAATTGATTTAAAGTATAGACACTGGATCCCCAATATCTAAAAAAATTGCTTCTATTAAAACAAATTTGGGGGTGGGGGAGAGGCCCAGAAAAAGAAAGCAGCTTCAAAATTCAAGGAAGCAAAGTAGAATGAAGAGACAAAAAGTAACTCAAGTTTACTAATACTGAAACTTCCCATAAGCAAAGTTTCATCTTTTAGATCTAGAGCAACTCATCTGGAATTTTAAATAAATAAGTTTAAGTTTATTCACATCTTCTGGTCCAAACAGAGTTCTAGTGCCATGACTCTGCTTGCTGTTGGTCAAATTCACCTATTAGTCTTTTGATGTGAGCCAGCTTGTTATGAAGATACTCGCATCTGTATTTTTCTTCATGGTAATTGGGACTGGACTGCAGACAAAGAAAACAGTGAGGAATTAGGTCACAGAATCTATAGTGCTTCTCACTGCAGGCCAGGTGGCACAGTGGTGATACCCACCTGTTTGATCTTCTGATATTCTTGTAAGACTTCTTCATGAACATTCTGCAAAATTAAAAATTAGAAATGAGAAGAGAAGACCTTTGAGGGGCAGTACAGTATCTAACCGGCATCTGGCAAGGTATGGGAAATATTGATGAGGAGATGTAACTTGGGACATTTTTATGGAAGGCAATTTGGCAGAAGCTATCAAAATAGCAAATGCAAAATTGACTCAGCAGTTCTACAAGTTCTGCAGGTCTATCTGCCTGAGCTTATGATGCAGACAGACACAAGGCTAGCAGCTCTGCCTAGCAAAGGACAATACACACTATGGGAATGCCACTCTGGCTACACAAGGGATATCAAGAGGACAGTGAAAACAAACAAACAAGCAAGCAAACAAAAAGTGCTTTCTGGGCTGATGTAAAAATTCTCTATGAAGCATTGTACCAGTAGAAAGAAAAATCAAAGTACAAAATAATATGGGTAGTTTGATACTATCATTAAAAGCAAGACACAGTACTATATTTTAATTATTCAATAACTTAAGATTTCTTCTAAATTTAATGAGAGCAGGAAACACAATAACGATTTAAGTTACTAGAATGTAACACATTGGCGTCTCTTACAATTGCAGAAAACATACTCTACTTAGTTGTGTTTTGTATGCTTCACAATACATTATATATTATAATGGAATACATTTTCCCCCCTATTGTGCTTACTTAAGAACTATTTCAAGTACATTTGTTTCCTAAAGCAAGACAGCTTGCTCTAAGGCTAATGGGATGGTGAGAAATGAAAACCAGTCCAAGAACATTCCACCTACCTGGTACTCTTTTGAACCTGGAGAAAGGCGTTTTCGCTGTGCATCCAGTTTAATAAACCTCCTGGCTACAGTCTCCATCCTGGCATGCAAAGCTCTGTACTCGTCATACTCCGCATTGAAGTCATCCTTGTAGTTCTGGCGTTGCTCATAGGAGACAATAGCAATGTATTTTCTAATAAAAGAGAGAGAAACAGGATAAACGGAAAGAACAGGCATGGAGGCAGGGATCTGGGACGCCGTCTTCTTGCATGTGTCTCCAGTGACTGAATGCCACTCTGCTCTGGTTTGTTGCCAGGGCACCCAGAGAGCAGCCCTCAAGAGTGTCCATGGAGAAGGAATGTGGAAAAGATCCTAGCGGCAATGGAGTTCAAAGGGAACCACGGAAAATGAAAAGTGTTCTTTCAGACTTTACTACCACAGCGGAGGAGACCGAGCCATCTGTTAGCCGTCACGGAAGTGCAACAAGAGAATGCCACACTGCCACTGAGCACTCAAGTCAAGGCTGGGCCAGGATCCTGGGCTTTACTCTCTCCATTCCTTTCTTGACATTTCTAACTAGGCAAATTAAAGAAAACATTTTTGACAGAGAGTGGGGCCCTCTACCAAAGAAAGTTTCTCTAGTTTTATATATACCCCCCTTCAGATAAAGAAAGATTTATTTAATCTGGGTGCCTGCATGTATGTGTGTGTACCACATGTGTGCCTGGTATCGCATGGAATCTAGAACAGGGCACTGGATCCTCTTCAACTGGACTCATAGACAGCTATAAGCCACTGAATATGAATGCTGGGAACTGAACCTTAGTTCTTGAAGAGCAGTAAATGCTCTCTTAACCATGGACTCATCTCTCTAGACCTCCCTGTTGGGTTTTTGGAGAGATAGCCTCATATTGTCCAGGTTGGCCTCCATTTTACCATGTAGTTGAGGCTGGCCTTGAAATCCCCATCCTCCTACCTCTATTTTCTGAGTGCTAAGATTACAAGTGTGCACTGCCAAAAGCAGAGGATCCCTCCAGCACTTTCTAACACTAAGTTACACTTACACAACAGAAGGCCAGCACTGTGCTGCTGAGTCTAATTCACTGTCTTAAGAGGATGCCGCAAAGCTGCGACTAGTTCTTAGAATCCAGTAAGTAAAGGCCATCTTCACCATATGCTGGGTGATTCAGAGGAAATCAGTTACAAGATCATTTTAACAGTAAAACAAGCAGTATCATTAGTGCACATTCTGCCTTCTTTTTTGCCCTCTGTTTTCCTGCCAGGGAAGGCCCAATTTCCTTGATTATTCTGGGTAAAAACTGAGATCGGGCAGCTGGTGAGCACTGCAGGATCCATCCTGAGGTGCACACTTGGGCCTTCTGGTGGTACATCTTGGAACTGGGGCCTTTCCAGATGGTTTATATAATCCTACCAGTTTTATTTAAGTTGCTGTATCACAGATGCCTTGCTGGGAAAGTGAGAAAAGTGACGCGCAGTGTGCAAACTGAGCGGCCTCATTAATATTTTTATTTCTGCTGAGTTAAGACAGTGTGGAGGTTGGGTCTTCTAAGTGTAACTGAGACAGTGGTAGTGTGCTGATTTAAGCTGCCGGCTGGTCTCAGCTGCAAAGGAATGCTGCCAGCCACACGGGGAGTGGTCCTCCCCAGACATGCTGTCTTATAACACAATGGAGGAAGCCCTGAGGGTGAATGAGGATCCTGGGAATAAGCATGTACAAATAAAGACTAAGCCAATCTTGAAACTCAGGTTTAAGTCATTGTGTAACACATTTATTTCACCTTTAGTATTTTATCTAAATCTAAACTTGAGTTAAAATCTGACCTTTAGTATTTTATTTAACAACTTTGTTAAGGAAAAATACCAACTAGGCCAACAATTGTGTTGCTGTTTGATACTGGCATTTTAACAACCAATATTTTTAACAAATTCTTAGGATTTTGCAGTTGGTTTTCAATGAGGTGACAGAGTAAAAATGCACAAATACAAGCAACAAAAGCACTCTTGGTATATAAAAGTTAGTAATATTGCAGTTACATATGAATTATTCAAAGACTGACCATGGATGGAGGTTCTATTGAGTCTCCTTTTGGTTTTCTTATGAGATAAGTTCTGTGTTCTGGAAATGTTCCTGCTATTTTAGAAATTAGCTGTACTGGTTGGTATAAAACTTAAGCTTTTAGTTTGGGTAGAAGATAGTGCTTTTATTTAAGCAAATTAAGCACACAAGAAAAGCCTTAGAAATGTGACAAATATACAAGGCTTCACTCAGGCGGAGGACCAACACTTCTTAGTGATTATACTTTCCTGCTGAAAGCCTACATAAACACATCAGGACTAACCTAAAACACTTCTTAAAAACAGTCAGCCAGTTAGGCTGGCAAACATGGCAAGAGCTTTGAATCCATGGCAGAAGTTTTAGGATACACTATTTTATATATATCACTACTAATAAAAGGATTTAAAATCTATCACAGGAGAATGCTGTGCTACTCCAGGGCTCAACTTTCACAAGTCTAAGGAGAAGCAGGTGGGTGAGAGGGTGAAAGCCCTCAGCAGTGGGTCTGTGGGTCTGTGATGGCAGGCTGGCTGCTCACCTAAGGCAGAGTACTGAGGAAGGTTCCTCAGGCCCCGGTTAGCTGAGGGGTGATAATTAGCACCATGTTTTCTCATTCTCCAGCAACTGTAGCTTTCTATTGGTGGTATGTAGAAGTGACAGCTTTGTCCAGCTACATTGTTCTCTCCTCTGCAAGAAGCAAGGTTCAAAGTATCTCCTAACTTTGCCTACTGTGAGATGGCACGAAAAGAAAAAAAATGTGCAGATAGCTCGATCATATCTTCATGCTCTATGCTGTACCTAGTTTGCAAATTCGTTTCATTTTGAAAGCTATCTGCTATCAGAGATTTTTGCTTTGCCATGCTCCCCTTTCCAGGCACTAGCAACTTAATTATTTTCTTCTTACACAAGTCTTTTATTGTATGAAAAAGCTAGAATTATATGTCCAAGTTATAATTTCTGTGATAAGCACTTACAAAAACATTCCCAGCTCAGCATTTAGCAACTTGTTGTCACAAGAAAAACTTATACCTGGTACTAGAGTGAAATGAGCTAACTTATTAGTTTTTCCCCTTAAAATTAATTTGAGAAAAAGACTTTTATTTACATAAAAATGAACCTATGCCTGCTCTGTATTGTTCAGCGCACAAGTCAAGCACTCTACAGCACTCTGGGCCCCTCTAGGGGCTGTGCGTTGATGGACTAACTGTCAGCTTTGGAGGTTATGATGCTCAGCCTGGCCCTGGAACAAAGACAAGCTTCCCTGTACTTACAAACCAACGGACACTGCTCTGAGCAGGAGGCACAACCTGCCCCTGAAGACAGCGGTGCCCTGGAGTCAGCAGGCTTAGTGGCAGTCTTCCATTGCAGAGGTGGCTTCAGGACTCATATTTCTGGAATTTCTTACTTTTTTGATTTGCAAATTATGGGAAAAGAATTTGCAAACTTTCTAAAATTAAACAGCTCTGTCCATTGGCAGATGGAAAACTTACATCAAATAATCTGGGAGTTCAATTGTTGAAGAAGGCTCCATGGAGGCAGTGCAACCTTCTTTAACTCCTATGAAGGGGAAAAAAAATCAGAGCGTTCATCAACCAGAATGGTTATCAAATGCCTCTAACTTTCAAATAGATTAGAAACATCTGGAACACTTTTCCTCAAATTCTTTTCTTCCACCTCAATAGGCAAGAGCAACAAGGAACACAATGGAACACAACAATGGAGGCCTGTGAGCAGAGCCAGCAGAGCTGACGCCAGGCTTTGCACGCACCCCGGCTACTGCAGTCTCTGCACAGCAAAGGAATTCCATCTTAACCCAAGGTCAAGCTGCTATTCTTTCATCAACAGTTGTGGCATCTGCCTGGCAATTCAAAGACTGTGGTGGCAGATGCAGCCAGACAATGAGAGATACAAATTTTACAGCAACATCTACTCTTCATGAGATTCAAACAGGGCAGAAGAAATAATAAGTCAGGTAGCAGCCTGTTTGAGTCAGTGTATTTTTAGGTAGTGGGACCAGATAGGACATTTTCCTATCAATTCACAACAAGGCATTAATGAATGTGGATTCATACTTCTCTTACCTTTGGCTCTCACAGTACTAGACAGAGTTTAGGGAAAACAACAAAAAATGTTTAGTTACTCATGGCAATGCTGTTAAAAGTGGGTAAATTCTCAGTATTACACTGCTTAACATACAACTTCCAGGGGCTATGTTTAAATATTTTTATTAATGTAACTTTTTTTAATTCAAAGCACACTTAATAACTCAAACTTTTAATTTGCTGGCAAAACATATGTCCACTATAAAACAAATGCGAATATCTGACAATTTCTCAGTCTTTTGAAAGATAAAATACACTAAATAAATTACATAGCCTCAGTGGGCTTATTGTTCACTTATACAAATTTGACTCAGGTGGGCCACAAGAGCCTGAGTCTTCAAGGCAGAGCATCAAGTATAGAATCCTTCTTTGCCATAAATGGCTGACCAGTTCTAACGGGTACAAAGGACGTGGGTCTGGACCTGTCTTCCACTTGTGATGATCATACTTGGTTCTGAAACGTTTCCTACATACACAAAAGAAGGATCTAAAGACAGTAGGTCTGTTTATCCAGATCTCTAACCCTGAGAACATACAACTTTCTGTGGTAGTCTCAGCACACTGGATCCAGTTCTCTTGGTACTAGAATGACTCAGATCACCCTATAAGGATGTAAGTGTGGGAAGGAGAGGTACTCTGGAATCTGGCTTATTAAATGTAAACATGAAATTTTACTTCAGGGTTTATCCTGACTTGACAAACTCAAGTACAAAGAGTGGTGTAGGTGGGGGGAAACATCTTATACTTGGGCCATTATCTACTATTATGCTGATCTACACACTTCAAGAGATATGCTTTGCTATGCAATACACCCAATCCAGGTCAACTGTATCTTACTGTAAGTCCTCTGCAAATTTCACTAAGAGAAAATAATGACAGCTCTTTCCATTCAGCAGAGATGGTCAGTTAAACCTCAGGATTTCAGGTCTTCAGTGTTATGAGCAGGATATGGAGTAACAAGTGATGTTAATTTACTAACAAAAATACTCAATCTCTATCAAGCTAATAATAGCCAGGAACCTTGTGAAGTAAATTAGTTTCATTGCAAATGACGATGATGTGAGCTTGCCTGTTTTACAAAGAATTTGACAGTCTTTCTGTGCTAATATTAACTACAGCAGGGGTACCTCTGGCTTTTCAAAAAGGAGGAAATGGATAATTCTATTGCCTATTGTGTATCTGTTTAAATTAGTTCAAGAATGGCATGTACCTGTTACACTGAGGTTACACAATATGACGGAGAAGGAAAAAGCACCAAAGGGGAGTCTTTGGAGAATGGTAAAGTCATTTTAAAATGCCATTATAAATCTACATAAAGAAATCATGTTTAATACTTGGCTAAAGAGAGATTGACAAGATAGCTACAAGGTGGAGGAAAACAATGTGCTACAAAAGCACAATATTAAGATTAATTCAATAGAAGGTCATTTGCTTAAAAAGCACTGTTCGACAGAACGCCACCTACAGCTCATGCTCCTCCAGTTCATGTAACACAGAAAGCATTTTTTGATGTTTCTTTTAAACAAATGTAAAATACCTTCACTGGGATTCGGATTGGAGTTCCTCAACTTGGCAGTTTCTTCTCTCTGAAGGTCTTCCTCCTTTTCTTCCACTGTCTCAATGTCATGCTTTTTTATTTGGTCCTTTTCCTTGTGTTTTTTAGACTTCTTTTTGGACTTCTTGTGAGACACTGGGTGGTTTTCTTCCATAGGCTTTGGACACTTTAGCAGAACTGAGCCAGGGGGTAATGTTTCCAGACAAGTCCTAGAGGTATATTTGTCTTGCTGGTCCTCAAAGATGCTACCATTTTGACTAAAACTGTCAACAGGTAGGTCTTGAGTCCCCCGGCCTTCTGGAGTGCTAGGGGAATTGGAGTTGGAATTTACAGTCTGAGGAGGATTTGAGACAGGCAGGTGGGTTGAAGGCAGCGGTGAGGGTGTGGGGATGGCAGCAGCTGCAGGGGGCGGTAGGAGGCCTGCAGAAGATTTTTCACTGGTGGGGTTCAAATGGCCATTTAATGTTGGTGGGACTCTGTTAGTCAGGTGAGATATTCGAGCTTTTTTGTTCATCAAAGGATCAATGAAATCTGAATCCAAAGGTCGTTTCTGTGGGTGGGGAGAGAAAAGGGAGAGATTTGACAGCTGAGCAGCCTTATTCATCATACTATTACTCTAAGCTTACTCAAAAATGAACCTCTCCCAACACACACACACACACACACACACACACACACACACACACACACACACACACACACACATACACACTCCCTCTAAGAACCCCCAACCAAATAAGAAATCCAATTTTAGTTCTGTCAAAAGCAGAATGGGGAACAGAGCCAAATGGTGCTTTTAGGTCTTGCAGGCAGGCTACCCTAATTGCCAGAGACTATTCTGATTTATGTGCATTAGGCCACTCGTACAGTACTAAATAGAAGTACCATCCTCAACGCTAGCTGCAGCTGGCCTAGTTCTAGCAAGTGAATGGAGATGGTGCAGTTTGCACCATCTGACTCTGTACTAGTAAGGTTGGTAAAGGGCAGTGTGCCCACATCACAATGTGAACTAGCTCTCTTTACATTAATTTCTCTAAGTACAGCTAGGTATTGATATGCCATTTTACGTTTTCACAGCACATATATGTTCACAATGTTGTAAACTAAGTCTATGAAGACTGGCTCATTAAAATGGGGTAGATATACTTTAAAAATCTTGTTGTATTAGCTCAATCCAGTACTCACAATAACACTATACAAGTTACAAAGGAAAATGAACAATTGAAAAGTATAAAATTGCAAACCAGTTAAAATGTTTTTGTATTGTGGCTTATAAGAAAATAATAGTTAATCAACCCATTAATTCATTTCTGTTTTCACTTTAGCATCCTGTATGTGATTTGGTCAGAGTAGAAATAGCTACACAGTAGTTGGCATTAAAACTAAGTCTCCACAGACAACTGACACCTGAAGATGGGCCTACTTAGCTGTCCTCTGGCTGCGTTCCTCTGAGTGGACACATAGTTGGCCTCTTGCTTGTGTTCCCTACACATCTGTCTGCTTTCCCCTAGTTCTTCAGGAGGATACAGAGAGAGGAGGTACTGTGTTAGTAATCCTGGTGTGGTAGGGAGGGGTCTGACAACATTGGCCCAGAACACTCAGGATAGGGGAACTCTCTGAAATGTCCCATTGAGATGATTCTGATTATGATCAAATTGAAAAAAAAATTAAGAAAATACATTTAAAACGTGCCACCATTTTTTAATTTGCCCCAAACGTATTTTCCACAAGAATGTTCTTCCAGACACATTTCTGATAAAATCAAATATCTTCAATTTTCCATATAACTTGAGAATTGGATTAGTGACCAAACTAAAAAGCAGAAAATTTTACAATAAATTTTGAAAGTGACAAGCAACGTTCGCTTTAAGCCCTCAAGCAGTGCAGCACTGTCTTTACACTCTATTCTAGACTGAGGTCAAAACTGAAAGCCTGGCCGTGAATGAGTTCTGGGCTTTGGGCAGGTCCTATGTAGTTTCCCTCACTTACAAATTAGAGAGTGACTGAGTGCTGAGCTGCAGGGCAGGCCTAGGATTTTGTAACTTCCTGACATACCTGCGGAGATGAGGCAGCATCTTTGCTGGAACACATGGGAGACTCTGATCGGCTAGTGCCAGCATTCTGAGATGGATTTAGTTTTCTGTAAAGGAAACACATTTTCCAGGTAATAAAGAGGACTCTGAAACACACGGAACAGAAAACTACCCCTGCTTCTCTTTCCCACCTCAACACTAAATACCACTGACCGGATATAGTAATATCTATACCAATTTTAAAGACAAAAGGGGAAGAAAAAAGGAGCTTACCTAGAGAGCACTGACTCCAATGACCGTCTGTCTGTCTCACTGTAACCCGGCCAGTCTCGCTGGAGCTCCTTAAACACATAATCCTTTAAGGTATAGGAGAGGTCCTTAGGATTCAGATTGGCCACCTGGAACACAGGATGCAAACAGAGCATTAGCTATTTTCGTTGACTATATAAATCTTTTTTATGATCCTCCTGGGAATATATCCAGAGGACCCTACATCCTACCACAGAGACACTTGTGCAAAATGTTCATTACTACTGTACTCATATAAGAAAGGAAATGAAGCCAGCCTAGTTGTCCGCCTTCTGTTGAAGAATGGATAATGAAAATGTGGTACACACACACATACACACACATACACACAGTGGAATTTTATTCAGCTGTTAAGAAAAATGAAATTTGCAGGAAAATAGATGGAACTGGAAAACACTATATGGAGTGAAGGAATCTAGTCTCAAGAGGACAAAAATCCTCATGTTCTTTCTTATCTGTCTACTTGAACATTTGATGTTTGTATGTACATAATGTTGTAAGCTAACACAAGCATGGCACCCATAGGAGGACAGCTATGTGGAGTCAGTTCTCTTGTACAGCTTTGTGTGGGCTCTGAGGATCAACTCTAATAACCAGGCTTGCAGAGACGCACTTTGACCCACTGAGTCATTTTCAATGCTGCTGAGTCACAATAAAAATCCTTGGCCATTTCTATTTAAGCAGAAAATGAACAGGACCCTAATGGCAAGTTATAGCTTCTCAGCCAGCAGCACAAAGTATCTCTACAAATACTACCAATTTTGATAATCCTGCTCTTTACTTCTTTTATGATAATCAAGTTTATTTCTTTTATCTGCCAACTTTCCTGAAGAACTATTTATTCAAGGTCCTTGAAGTCCCCTCAAACCAATAAAGTAAATCACAAACTAAAGGCTCCTCAGATATCTGTTAGAGGGTTTATTCCCAAGTGAAATCTTTTCCTACCCCTTAACTACAATTTCTAGAATGTCCAGGTCAATAATCTACTCGCTACACAAATCTATGGACTTAGGCCAAACTAAAAGTACTTAAAAATTTTTTTATTGACAGTTTCATATTTTATATAATGAATTTTAGTCATTTTGATCCCGTATTCTCCTTTCTTATCCCTCTCAACAAGTATCCCTCCTAAACACCAAAAATACTTCTTAAGCCTAGAAAATCCCATAAATTTGGGAATGGTCTTTTCAGTAATTTGACTTCCTGTTGTGCCTTTAAAACGTACTATCAGATTTAATAGTTTGTCTCATATGAGCACTAATTTAGTATTAACGTTGTCATAAAGCAGCCTTTCAATCTTGTAAATAAATGAATACAAGATGCAAACCAGACTTCCTTTGAAGTGGAATATACACAACAATGGTTTTCTTTTTCTGTTATCTCTGACAATGTACAAAAGTAACACCACATCCCCACCACAACCACCTCTTGAGGTTTGTGTATGGACAGTCTCCTGGTCATTACCCTTCCCTCAGGACCTTTCTTAAGTCTCCAGTGCTCATGCCTTATATGGGGATGTGTTCAGTAACTGTCTTCTGCTCTATTTTCTTCATTCTTCTCCTTCCCGAGTTCGCTCAACGGTAAAATTTACAATGCCCGATCTATACACTAATTCCTAGATGAATGGCTCCAGCTCCAAATGTCCTCTGAATACTTATGTGCGATTACCTACTGATATCTATTGGACATGTCTAATCAACATTTCCAAACCCACCACAACCCTTACACCTGTCCCTTTCCTGCACTTCTCTAATCAGTAGCTCAACATCCACTGAACTGCTCTAGTCAGAACCTATTCATAACAAATGGCGCCCAACGGCTCGAGTTTCCACCTTAAACCTGAGAATATTTAATAAGCAATTCTAAACAGAGCCAAAACCAAGTTCCTGCTTCATGTCTCATATGGGCAGCTAGAGGCCACAAAACGCGGGTTTGAGCTACTGGTGGGTTCCTGGTGTTTGCGCTTGACCTGCAGTATGGTGGGAATGAGGCATCTGCTAGCGGCACATTACGCTGTGTGGTAGATTAGTCTTTACTAATATATATATATTCTGGGCTACACGCTGCTTTGATAGAAGCATAGACCCACTATTTCTGAGAGTTGATGGCTCCCAGAGCTGATGGAAAATGTACCACCGCCATTTTGGGAAGTTGAAGTGGGTGGAGCCAGCAGCCACAACACTGTTTCAGTCTTAGAATGCTGCAGTTTAAAGCAATAGGTTCACAATAAGACTGATTCAGATGGAATAGTTTACAATGTATGTAAGAATGTACGTAGGCTTGAAAGAGAGAGAAAAAGGAATATATAGTTATATAAACAAATAGTTTTTAAAAATAAAGTCTTTAAAGAAACAGTAAAGGTAATAAGCCACGTAAAGATGGCTATCACACAGAGAATCTGGATTATGTTGTCTTTGATATTCATAACTGAAGAAAAACATTTGATTGTAAAAGCTGTTGAGTTATGCTAAAATGTATACTTTAAAGGTACCTTGACTTCAAAATTTGGATGTAAGGATATGCTGCTTTGGAAAGGAGGCTCTGCTTTTGTTTCCACAGAAAGCAAGAGGCTATGGATTTATTCCAGATTAAGATACATCAGGTTTGACCAACCAAGACCCCCTGAAAGGTCTCCAATGACACCATGGCCCAGATGATCCAACATCCAAAATGGTTTCAAGGCAACTGGCTCAGACAATACAGCCTCACGGACTACCCCATAAGCCTAAAATTTTCTTTGTGTCCCCATAAGATACAGCGCCCCCCTCCAGCAGGAAGTAGTAAGAGATGCTACGCCCAAATTCCCAGATATACCAAGCTGGCTTTGGAGATGGAATTGGCTCACTCCCCTTCTAAACCCAGACATATTGCTAAAAAAAAAAGGTTAAGAGATTCTTATGTCCCAAATCAGAAGAGCCCTCTGGTGTGGGACAGAGAAAAACCAGTATTTTATTTAAATCTGGTTGATTATAAATGCAATCTCTTTCTAAAGAAGAAAAGGGGATATGATATAGATATGATAGGATGAAAGGATAGATTAATGAACCTACTTTTAAAGAGTAACTTGTTTAAAATGTTTTACATTGGTATAGATTTTAGTTTATTGATACAAACTTAAAGTTAATTTTGTTATACTGTGTGTATATTTCTACTCTTGTTGAAGGTGTTATGTTTGTACAGCTCATTTAAAATTGTAATGGAGAATTAAAAATAGATTAATAATTAGTTATCTATGATAATCATACTCGTAGCCATGTTAGTTAAGTCTTCTAGGTATACATAGATATATTTCAGATAGATAGGTAATCTTCAAATACTTCAAAGACCTACAGAATATGGCATTTAAAATATTTTAAAAATTTAGACTATCTGGACAGTGAAACATGTCTGCTTCTGACAGCACTGACTTACTTCAGAGAGGAGGATGGGCATCGAAGACACTCCATATGGAGTTTATCTTCACCTTGGCAAAAATAGCCATTTGGGCAAGAAACTGTTCTTGCCAGGATTGCTTGATCGACTGGACATACAAGACCCATAAAAAGGTGACCACTGAACTTTGCTAGACAAAATGGTCCTTCAGGTTCCTGCTTTGCAGAGGAAACTGCCAGACATTCTACAGGACATTAAAAAAAGTGACTGAGAGACTCTAGGCCTGTGGGCTAAAGACAGATGCCCCAACTTTACAAGAGAATTTTGGATGACTGTCCAGGCTGCCAGCTGTCTCTTTCTACACTGCAAGACTCCCAAAAGTTGCTTGCATCCTTCTCCCATTTCTCAAGTAATAGTATATCCTTCTGAGGTCTTTGATGTAGTTGAAGCTAGATAGCTACAATTTTCCTTAGTTACGATAAAAGATAAGTTAGATATAAAACCTTAGACTCACAAATATAAGATAGATAGGATATCTTCTTTAATTTTGCCAAATAAACTAGTTATTATAAGTACACTAGATATTATTACTGTAATTCTTGCTTGGTAATTGTTTTGTTATCTGTAATTTTACTATGTAAAAGTTAAAACCTTCCTTTTTGAAAAAAAGAAAAGAAAAGGGGAAGTGCTGTGGATATCGTTCTGTATAAATAAAACACCGATTGGCCAGTGGCTAGGCAAGAAGTAGGCGGGGCAAGGAGAGAGGAGAATTCTGGGAAGTGGAAGGCTGAGTGAGGGAGACACTGTCAGCCGCCGCCATGACAAGCAGCATGTGAAGATGCCGGTTAGCCACGAGCCACATGGCAAGGTATAGATTTATAGAAATGGGTTAATTTAAGCTGTAAGAACAGTTAACAAGAAGCCTGCCATGGCCATACAGTTTGTAAATAATATAAGCGTCTGTGTGTTTATTTTATAAGTGGGCTGTCGGACTGCCGGGACTCAGCGGGACCCGGAGAGAAAACTCCAGCTACAACTGCAGGCCCCTTTCTTTTCTTCATCTCTGTTAGAAGGTTTTCTCAAAAACGTATCTCTAATCTATGAAACCAATTCTACCAGACCAAGCTGCCAACACATCATACCTTGACTTCTGCAGTAGATTTATTTAAGTAGTTGTTCTCTTCCATTCTCAACCCCCAAAGCCATCCTTGACACAAAGTGAGTGGTCTTATTGAAAGTATAAATCAGATTATAGTATATTGCTGCTTAAACTCCACTGCTACTTCCCATCTCACTCAACATAATCTCCTTATCTGATCTGCAATGCCTTCTGAAATTTAGTAGTCTCCATCCCTTCTACCAGGCTTCCAGAAATGATGACTCTTCTTGTCTTTTGCTTTTTATTTCAACTAAGAGATAGAGGTTCTCTAAACTTCCCCTTTATAAGCAAATCTCTTGAGACTCCATGAGAACCATGAGACTCCACACCTACAATGTTATCTGGTATAGTCCAGGGACAGTCATCCCTTGTGTTCAAAGGGATGACCCCAGCCGGGCGGTGGTGGTGCACGCCTTTAATCCCAGCACTCGAGAGGCAGAGGCAGGTGGATCTCTGTGAGTTCGAGGCCAGCCTGGTCTCCAAAGCGAATTCCAGGAAAGGCACAAAGCTACACAAAGAAACCCTGTCTCGAAAAAACCAAAAAAAAAAAAGGATGACCCCATTTAATTATGTAGATTTAATGTATCTTTCCATATACTATAAATAACCTCAAGGTTACTTACAACAACCAAGAAAATATAAATATTATCTACAGGGTTCTTATATGCTGTTGTTTGAGGAATAACGACAAAGAATAAAGTCTATGTATGGTCAGAATAGATGCAATTAAAAAACTGTGGTCTTCAATTAGTTGAGTTCATAGGTGGACAGCCTGTTGATACAGAGAATCAGCTGTACTAAATAAACAGAATGAATGAGCAATGAATGTGAGCTTGACTAAAACATCCTAAGATTAAGATTCACGTTTACTGAGTTTTTTGATTTTTTTAAAAAGGTTTTCCAGGAAAAGTCATTCTAAGGAAAAGGAAGCTATATATTCGTATACTAACTTCATGGTAACAGTTTTAAATCACATCTAGTACATTATTAAGTATATTCTAATTAATAACACTCACAAGGTGCTCAAAGAAAACTACAATGTAAGTAACAAATCAGCAAAAACATCTAGTGGCACTGGCAAAACAGAACTGATCATTTTATCTAGTATGTTTGTTAACTAGCTGGTGACAAAATAACCAATTTTTTGATCATCTGCTTATTCTGTTACTCTACTCCTTTTAATGTCAGTTTTGGTCAGTTCATGAAGCAGAAGTTGTATTAGCTGCTAGGAATGTTCAGATAAGGAATGTATGGGTAACTGGCTTAAGTCCAAGTTCTTAGTATGTGTCTGTTTTCTTCCTTCTAAAGATGAAATGATATGTGCACGAAATGCCTAGCCATACTGTGCCTGGCACATAGTATAAGCTTCCAAAATGGTAGGTGTTACTGGCTTCTCTATCTGTTTTCACTAGGCTAGTGGTTCAGCTCATATCAAACACCCAAATTACTCAAGGACTTTATACAATTTGGTGCTCACATCCTTCTTTCAGATGCTTCACTGATTTGTGTGGAGTCGATTCTGGCATAAGCACTTCTCAAAAAGATATTTCAATATTTGGGATATTCAAATATACAGCTAGGAAAACTATACTCAATGATTCTTCAAAACAACCCAATCACTAACTCTCATATCCAATTGTTCAGGGTCAAGTTTATTCATTTTAAGATACAGCTATCTATACTCACAACACCACAGAACTACTGCCAGGTACAGTAGTAGCTTCTATGAGGCTACTCTCCATCTCTTTTCCCTATTTCTCTTCTATCTTAGAAGGTAATTCATAGACTTTCTGTAAATGCATTTACCATGTATTTTGTGATATGCAACCTGACTCTCTTTCCCCAACAGAATACTGAACCAACACACACTCTGTCTCACTTTCATATTAATTTCCCTTTTATCCTTTCTCTTTAGTTTTAATAAGGGCTATGTGCCACGATGATGGTTTTTTTCTCTTATAACATCATAGTACTATGTTTTGAATGTAAGATATGACTGAAAATAAACTTAAAACGATTATTTCTTTAGTATCAGATAAAATATGTAATTTTAAAAAATGATGAAATTTAAGAACAACTTTGAAAATGTCATTACTTTTTTAGAAAAAATAATAGAATTCTGTTTATGATGGATCTGAATGTTAATTTACATTTATTACCTGAAGTATGAAAAATATAGGAAATCACTATCTGATATTTCTTTAATGAAAAACAAAAAGCCTGTAAGACTACTTCACACTATAACTTGTGATTATAAAGTAACTGATCACAGTTGCTCTTGAAACACTCTTATCCCTTAATAAAAACAAGTGACCGAGCTTAGCATACACAATGGCCAAAAAATACTAAGTAATAAGAGCTTCAAAGAATATGGAAGTAACAACACATTCTAAACGATTCACTAGGCAAAAGTATTATGCCTTACACCACCTGAAGACCAACATATGACATTATACAACTTTGCCTCTATAAACAGTGAAACATAGGTGACAGTTTAGGTGACTTAAGATGAAAACAAATAAAAACTTCCCCACTTAATGAAATTTTGGGCAAAATTGGTTTTAGCCAAAAGAGGACAATGCTCACATTTCAACCAGTTTTTAATGAAATGCTCTAAAGAAAAGATGACTTAAGCTAGGAATAGTGGTGCATACCAGTACCATCAGCATTCAGGAGGCTGAGGCAGGATGATCACTGAGTTCAAAGCAAGCCTGAGAAACTTAGCAATCCTCCATCTTAAAAAAAAAAACAAAACCAAAAAAACAGCCCAAGATGTCCTGTAATATCAAAGAGTTATATTTATACATGAATTTTCCCTATCTCAAAAATAGTGGACAATATTAATGAGAGCAAGCAGAGGTTTTATTTGCTGTTTTTCAGACAGGATCCTACACAGTCCAGAACTCACTCTATAGCTCAGGATTATCCTAAACTTGTAATGATTCTCCTGCCTCTGCCTCCTGAGTGCTGTCATATAGGCATGTCCTGCTTTTGAGGTCCAAGGGATCGAGCACACTCTATCAACTAAGCTACCCCACAACCCATCACGTGCTCTTAAGAGAGCCAGCCCCCCAGAAGGCACACAGACGCCTCTTTCTAGTTGTCCTCACCTGTTGCAGAATTGCTCCCAAGGAGTTCTTGTCTTTTTGATTGACACCATCTTTCTGCAGGCGAGCAAGCAGCTCAGGTTTCTTGTAGGCTTTTAGTGCCAGTAAGTGAATAACCCTGTCCCTGTACGGCCTCTGAGAAACACTGCTGCCACCGTGTGTCTTTCGAATTGTATTTGCAGGGTTCATGGGGGTTGACCTTTTCCTCTCAGGCACTGCATCTGAGATGGCTTGAGGCGCTTTCCGAATTTGCACTCTTTTCCCTACAGTCCAGTGAAAAAGACACGGTTACAAATCTGGGCGTTATAATATAATGAGCCCTTTAGCTTCCATAACCCAATTTAGCTAATTTTTTATTTCTAGAAGAAATAAAGGTCATTTTATTTCAATTTTTACTTTAAAGGAAGATGAGAAAGCATTCTAATGAAGTTGCCTATAATATGGAGTAGGAATTTTTAATAAGATTATTTCTTAAAGTAAGTACGTATTATAGATGTACTTTTGCCATTTAGCTACATGTGGACAATAATTAGTGATACAAACAACAGAATAGGAAATTCTAGATTGTTGACTATTTGATGACAGGTAGAAATAAAGTAATTTCCTGCGTTACTTCACTTAAATCTGTGTGTAATACATCACTTATGAAAAAGTGAGAAGAAACAGGAACTCATATACTAAGGAGACATTGTCTCACAATAACATGGAGAAATACACGTCAGACTTCATAAGAAAACACACTTGACTAACCCAGACTGTGATAAATTCATAGACACAGACATCAAAAGAAGTAGAGAACATCGACCAGACTCAAGATGGTCTTTTTTGATAGGCAATAACATATTTGGTAGGCAATAACACCAACCAAGCACACACTCTCAGAAGACAAGACAAATAGATCTGTCTTTATAAACTATACAGGCGGACCAGACGGTGGTATGGACAATGGTACAAGAAGACACACCACTCCCTCAAGGCCAGTGTCATTTGTGTCACTAACACTTTCTGCTTGGACAGAAGGCTGACAGTTGCCAAGTGTGTGTCACAAGTGACGTTAGAACTCTCTATATTCAAATCTATCCAGATAGAGCACCCCAATCAGCCTCTAGTAACTGTTCTTTAGCAAGGGACAGAAAGTAGTACACAATCTCTTTTCATTGTTTCGGAAGTAGAATCTCTTAGCTCACTTACTACACATTATGTCCAACTCCGTCCCCTCTGTTAAGGAGAGGGGAGAACTGGAGACGATGCATTAAACGGGGGGACTGCACTAGGAGGGAGACTAACAAGGAGGAAGGACAGACAAGAAAAGCAATTCTCACGAGCTGGGTCTAGAGATAAACTGGCTTCAGGGACTCTGCTTATTAGTGTTTCTGTTCAGCTGGGTCCAGATAAAACTTAGATACCATCCTACTTCATTTCTGGGAAACTTCAGTCAGTCGGTACACTTCTTTGCAATTTGGACATAAGTGATGGTAAGTATCAGATTAAATTACTGTACAGTGAAGGAACACAACACTAAAGGGATACTGCCTCATGATAAAAAAAAAAACAAAACTAGCTATATAAAGTTTTAAGAGATAGACTTAAAGCTGTTTTCTATATATTTTATAATTTAGAAAAAGCTGGATCAGATGGAAAAGGACTAATGCTTATCATGTACCAATTATGGTGTAGTGAAGGGAAGGCTACGTATGCTAAGGGATTCATGCCAGTAATTTCTTCAAGGTGAGCCTTATTTCCATTTCACAGTTGAGAAATCTGAGTTTTTCAGTGGGAGATGCTCAAAATAGTAAAGTGCTTACTTAGCAAGGTGGGAAGGTCTGTGGTTACGCCCAAATCTCCTCACTTGTACCTCTTCGTGGGAACGGATTTATGAACAAATGCCTAATGCTTTCCTGTCGTTTCCTGTTGGGCTGGAAGCTCTGTGAGGGCAAGGCCATGGCTGCTTTCCACCGCAGAATGAGTCAGTCCTAAGGACTGCAAACGACAGCAGCAGCAGGCCAGCGAGCAGAGGCAGGAGTCAACACAGCCTGAACTTTCCCACACTGCCAGACTGCCAGTCCAAAGACACACAGAAATCTACAATGCAAACCCTCTAGTCTATCATTTCTCAGCTGTGACAGTATTAATGTCACATTCTTTGACCATTCAATGGAAATTTCTGGGGAAAAAATAGGGTTAGTGTCATGAAAATTTAGGAACTTCCCTAAATTCCACACTTCCATCAATTCCCGTAGCAAAGAACCTGCTTAACTCAACCAAGCTGTCACTCAGAAGTCACTCAGCCTGTCACTCTGTTTCTATCTGATCTATCTCAGACCCTTGCTCTCAAAATGGCTCCCAGGGATTGCTCGGTTTGCTCTCACCCTCCCAGAAGGAAGCTCAAGGAAAACCAAGGAGGCTACCTTCGCCGGAAGAGGGAAACGAGTATGATGTTGGAGAGGAAAATGGCCTCTGATGAAGGCAAGGTCTTAACTGAGGCCTGGTGCTGGGCCCTCTGATAACTGCTCTCAATATACCACCTGAGTCACCATTCCTGCAGTCGTCTGGTCGATGGGTGACCAATGATTGAAAGAATAACCCAACAACACTGGCACTGAATTACATTTAAACACCACTTGCTTCAGTCTCTCCAAGCCTTTTGTGCTTATTCAATCAGGATGGAGACCCAAGACTAAGGAAAGAGAGGCAACAGATGAAGAAAACCTAGTCATGTAAACAGTAATAGGATTGTGATGCTAAAGAAAAAGAAAGTAAAGAGGAAAGGCATTAGGTTCAAAGGAGGCAGGTGTATTTTTATTTTTAATATTTGCCTCAGAAAGGCCCTTTAATAAAGCCTGTGGGAAAACCTAATTCTCTTCCCAGACTCAACTGCTAATCAATTCCCCAGGCTCTTTTATATACAGCAGCAGTGGTACCAACAGAGTTGGCTAATCTGGGACTGTATCTGAGTCACTGTTACATTTATGAGTCCATCTCTGGTTCCTCCATTTAATACTAGATGGTAAAATTATCCTTCAGCCAATGGCTCTGAGTCAACAATGTGAAAGAAAATTGTTAACACAGCTATCAGAAAGAAATTAGCAACTATAGCCATCTTCTGTAATTGTTTTTCTGCTTGACTTCCGGAAACTGGCCAGCACCTTTAGCAACAAAGACCTAAGGCTGCAGATACTATCGCAGGGTAGGAAGGATGGCTTGGACTCTGGTTCATTATATAATCTATACAACGGTCTCTGCTAGTACCATTGGGCACCTGTGGTACTTTTTCAAAGTTTCAGTACATGCACACACACAGGTCTCCAACAGGCACAAAAACAACAGAACTACAACAGATCTCAGATGATCTCTCATTCAGATATTCCTTATCTAATATCTGAGAAAATTAAGGTAGTCAGTGACTAGTTCCATCACTTAGATATATGCTAACTCATCAAAAATAAGGAAGATGGAAAAAATAAGAAGAGAATCATAGATATTAGAGCTGCTGGGTTATTTTATACACCTGCATAAGTATCAATATATACAAAGATTGGTAGTTTAATGAAATTCCAGAATTTAGATAGGAGTCAAGAGGTTGATTTAGCATATTAGGGAACAAAGTGGTGGGGATTAGGGACTTTTCCTTATGAAAAATATGATAACGTTCACTACTGATGTAAACATCAAGAGCAGAAGTGGAAGTGTTACAAAACAAGTTGCCATCATGCTGTGTAAGTAAAAGCATCCCTAGTTCCTCTCCAGGTAAACAGGGTTTGCTCTGTTCCCCCCCAGTTTTCAGAAGCTCACAGCTCAGAAAACTAGGCAGGTGACCCCTAGACTCCTAGCAGTGCGGACTTCATCCCTTAAGCTTGGCTTGTGGCCTAGCTCAGCTGGCAGAGGCCCAGCCTGGCACTGTGCCACACCACACCACAGCAGGACCAGCAGGACTCTAGTCTGCCTCCACCCAGGCTCACACCACTGAAAGGAACCTTGTTCTGCAGGTACCTTAGGCTGGCATAGGTGAGCGTCTGGTGTCATTTTACATGGCACAGTCAATTATAAGCTGAGTATTTCAGAATGAGAACACAACTTGTTCATGAGTACATGCCTATATCATCATTATTATTTTTTTCTGAGCCCGACAACTTGATGTGTAAAATGGGGAGATAGTCATAACCTACTTCATAGAATAATCATGAGATTAAGATGAGGAACTACATACAAAGTACTAACATGTACATTGTATATAATGAACACCCAGTAAATACTGGGTAGTATTAGTACTATAGGTTGATTGACTAACATTTTAAAGAACTGAATGAGCTAGGCATTACAAAAAGTAGGAAAATACAAATTGAGCTGCTCAGCAGGGAAGGATCATGTTGTAAAGAACAGATGATAAAAAGCTCAAATGCAACTTATCCAGGTAGAGTAAAACTCAAAGTAAACAAAAGAAAGTCCAATGGGACCCTAGCGTCTTCAGAGTTGATCTGGCTTTGACTAACAGTACTATTTGGTTCTCAACTTTGAGGTGAGGAACTGGAGGCAGTCCAGATATTACAATACAAATAACTAGAAGGTTGTGACACAGGCCATATTAAGGGGAGTTAAAAGGAGCCTGGGTTATGTGACTCAGAGAAAACGCCTGCGGAGGTTAATGAACGAGACTGATGAGCAGAGAAGGGCACTGGGATAGCTGAGCGGTCAAGAACTGAGGACAGAACTGGGAGGAGAGTGAGAAAGAGGACACACAGGACGGCAGAGATACCTGCAGGGCTCTCATGAGATGAGGGAGACAACATTTTGTCAATTTATACTTTGATAAGTTTAGGTTTTTAGGATTGATAAGATAGGTTACTCCTAAAGTACATGTAAATTATAATCCCTATAAGAAAACTTGCAAACTCTAAAATTTCTGGAACCACTAGTGGAGGGATTCCAGATGCTGAAATGTTTGTCATACGAACTGGATATGGGGGCTCATGCCTGTAATCCTAGCTCTTGAGAGGTCATGAGGCAGGAGGTTTGCAAATTTGAAGCCAGCCTGTTTGACACAGTAAAGTCCAGAGTACCCTGGACCATGGTGTGAGATTCTTGCAAGGAAGCAAGCAAGCAAACAAGCAAGCCAGCCAGTCAGCCTACCCACCTTATAAGCTAGATGTATAAACTATAAGTGAACTGACTCAGTCCCCACATTATCGAAACATACAAAATTCATCACCAACACAAGGGAAATTTAAGTACCAATCATAGGAAAAGTATATTAGTCTTTGCTGATTTTCAAACTTTAGAATAAATCTAGGTAAGAGTTCTCAGCTAGTTATATTAGGGGAAAAAAATCATTCTGATGATTCGAGTCCCTACAGTAACTGCTTTATTGTTTATAAAATGATGGTATTAGATTAAAACACTTTTAAAAATAGTGACAGATAATTCACATTTTATAGTTAAAATGTTAAGTGGAAGAATATCTTATGGATTTAAAAATAATTCAGCCAATTAAGTTATTTAATAAGAAGAAAGGAGAAGAAAGAAGGCTGAGAATTGTTACTTCACTCCACAGGAAAGGGAAGGTGAGAAATCTCATTGTTGGTAACGTACAAGTCAGTGTACTGGGTCCTGTGGGTACAGATGCCTGGGGAAGCCAGGAATTGTTGTTAAACCAAACTAAATGTATCTAAGCTGAGCACCAAGTCCCAGGAGCATTGGCTTTGTTCCAGAGACACTTATTAAAGGCACTGGTGGAGGCTTTCAAAGTTGAATGTAACATAGCTGGGTCAGCAATACAAAACCAGAGCAGAGTTACACCAAACCTGGAGAGGCGCTGATAAGGGATTTGGGTCTATTAAGAAACTGTTTTTGGAAACATTTACTTTTCCAAATTAATATCTATTCATCATTCACACTTTGGTGATTTGAGTTACAAAACCAACCAGGGACTTGAACAGTTCATCTTTACTCTATCATTCTGTCCTTGCTAATCACTATGAATTGATCTATTAAAGCTGTTCAGGACACTGCTCACAAAAGAGACACTCACCTTGCTGATCTGGTCTTACTTCCCTTCCATCTGATGCATATTTGAGTGAGTTGATGATAAAGACAATGGGTGTGGGTTAGGGTCTTAATTAAGGGATAGATGAGGATGGGGATCATAATTGTAACTAGAGAATCATCATCCTGCTGCTTGGCTGTGATACTCTGCCATAAGCACACTTTATACTTCTACAATAAAAATTGTGTAATAGTCTTCTGAAAACACAAGCAAAATCTGTAATAAGGAGGTTATCAACTTACTTTTGTCTAATAGATTTTGATTATAAGAATAGCTCTGTAAAAGTACAAACAGGAACCACACTGTCCATCACTGAACTCACATCATCCAATGACAAAAAAAACACAAAGGACCACTGTTACAACCTCATGTAGTATGAGTATTGGTAAGTAATAATAAGTAGCCAACAGAAGGTTCAAGAATTGTAAAAGTCATAAAACTTTAAAATATGTCCAACTTACCAGCAACCTGAAGAAAAAAGAAATGACTCTTTGATGTCCTGAAAATTAATTTCTGTGTTTTCATTCTTAGTATTACCAGTATTTACCTACACCCATCCTGAATTAGTCCAATCAAGCAGTGTGAAGGAGAAATATGTCCATACAAACCTACATATGGTCCACCGGGTTTGATAACTTTGGTGCTTCGATTACGGGATTCCTCCTCTGCCTGGGTCATTCTTTCTCGGGTCATCTGATAGGAGTCATTTGTTGCACACACTGTAATTTTATCTTGTATAAATCCCAGGCAATTGAGCTGGGAGGCTCCAGAGCTGTCAGGTGAGATTGTGGCTTTGTTAGAGATGACTATCGTTTTTACAATAAAGGCAAACAAGAATTTTATTATCCTAAAATCGGTAGCTTAAATAAGTTAGCAATCCTAAAATAACTGATGCTAATTTTAAAATATGATTATTTAAAATGTTTATGCCCTTATTATTTTTTTTTTTAAAACATCCTGAACAGAATGAGTAAAATGAGCTCCTGGAGACCAAATCGAACTTTTAAACACAGTGCAGGAGCGGAGAGCAGGATCCCAGCAAGCCCTGTAGTTCCACTTTCACTTATTAGTCAACTGTTTTTAAACTTTTTTGCCTGAGAAATGCTTAAAACCTTACTTTTTTAGAGAAAACAATGTACATATTTTAGAAAGAACAACATAAGACCTTGCCCATGATTCTTTTTATTTCCAATAATGTATCAGTAGTACAGCTAAAATTTGTAGAATCTGTATTTACCACTTCCTTAAATCTCTACATAGCAAATACTGAAAAATTTGGGGCAAGTGGTTCTTCCTGAAACATTAAACAAAACAAAACAAAACAAAACAAAACACTGAAGTACCCTGGATATTAACATAAGACTTTGAAATGGCCTTGCTTTAAAGTATCATGTAAGTTTGAATAAGTTTGCAATCCTAAAATCACTAATATTAATTTTTAAATGTAGTGATTTTTAAAAATGTTTATGTCATTATTTGTTTAGAGATCATGGTAAAGTCACAACTAATATTTAAAAGAAAATACTACATAGCCTTAAAGCAAATGGGAAAATATGTAAAGAGAATTGGCACTCCTGCTCCTCTATTTCCAAACTGAATTGGAAACTAAAAAGTTGATTAAAATTTTGTAAATTTTGCTAATAACTCTCTTTACAAATATTATTCTTTAAAAACAGTTAATTCATCTCATAAATATTCGGCAGAACAAAACCCAGGACAAGGACAAGGCAGAAGTGGTCCCTCCTTCAAGGAGCTGCTTCACAAAGCAGGGAGTGATATGCATCGTCAAGTGGCCCAGAGCAGAGAATTATAAAGCATCTACAAGTATGCACTGGCTTTAGGGACAAGGAAAGGCACTGCCCACTCAAGGGAGCAGTTATAGTGAAATGGTGGGGACAGAAGCCAGACTCTGGGTGGAGAAGTGAATGAAAGGAAAGTTGTTTTTGTTTCTTGTTTACTTTTTTTTTTTTTTTTTTTTTTTTTAAATAAAGACTTGAGTATCTCTGAATACTGATAAACCAATCAAAGAGGACCAGGAAGGAAGTTTAACTCCTGGAAGAGAGGGGGAAAAAATGACTTAATGAAGTCAAAGTCTGGTATAAGGGAGTCTGAGTTTTAGCATCTCTCCCTTTTTCTAAAAAAGGAACACACACAGGGTGAGAATAAGCTGAATTCATGTCAGTCATGATGAACTAAAGATCTTAAACAGTGCTCATCTGGGGAGGTCGGAAACTTTGCTCCACAGAATTCTTTGTGTTTTTCAGCTTAGTTATGGGAAGATTTCAGTTCACCCGTACAGGTGTTCCTTTTGTTTCTCTTGGGCCTGGATCACTGTTCTCCACACTTGAGAGGGCATCACTATATCTTTGCACATTTTCAATAAGCTTGTGCATAAGTACCTTCTTTAAGGAATCTCTGAAAGGTAATTTTGACTTGAGATTTCCTCCATTTTATATGTGAGAAAGTTTTGAAGGCGTAGAGAGAAATCAAAGGAGACCAGTTAATATTTGCTAAATATCCATTTATTGAGTTTCTATGTAGAGCTCAGCCTGTAATGAGAAAGCCTGGGCCATTGAAGACATGGCACTACTAGAGTCCAGACTAGAAAAGATGGAGCTAGATGACAGATAACTTACTTATCAGACTGAGAATTAAAAGGTTTTTGTTTGTTTGTTTTTTTGAGACAGGGTTTCTATACATAGCCCTGGCTGTTCTGGAACTCACAGAGATCAGCCTGCCTCTACTTCCAAATTATGGGATTAAAGGTGTGTACCATCACACGCAGCTGAGAACTAAAATTTTTTAGTGCTTTTGTTTTCTGGTGGAAAAAAACCACTAATGTATTTGTCTGAATGTTCTCACAAAATTTTCCGTTTCTCTTCTCTTGCTGCATCATAGACAGTTCTGCATATAATCAACCTTAAATCTTTCTCTAAGTAAGTACAATACAAATAAATACACAGTGCATATGTCATGTAACGATAACCCACATTACTTATTTAAATATGTTTTACATTAAAATTTTCATTTTGTGTGTGCACATGTGGGTGCATGCGTGCCCCAGTGTGTGTAAGTCAGAGAAGAACTTGTAGGAGTCAGCTCTCTCCTTAACCAGGCTCAGGAGATGAAGCTCAGGTGGTCAGGCTTGCTGACAGCACTTTTACCCACTGAGCCAAATATATATTACTTTTATGATAGAACATAGGATTATGATGTGCTATGGTTTTGAAGGAAGAACAAATTTTTCATAAGATTTCTCAGGGGATAAAGTTCAATTCAAGTCCTTCAGTATAATCCAGGGTACTTTATAAAACAATGTGGTATAGGTATAAACTGAAATTTATCGCCATGAAAACAAAAGTATATCATCATATAGTCAAGCACCATAGTCAGACACTGGTATGCCTCTGCTGCATAGGGAACCCTGGGCTAGACGTCTGGAGAACAACTCGTCTTGCTCAGCCACAAGCTAATAGTTACATAACTACAGATAAGTCACCTGTTAAATGAAGACCCTGAGAGTTGGTGATTCCACATTCTATTGCAATGCTATCCAGGAACCTCCTGCAATGGTAGAAATATCCTGTATCTTTGATGTAACTGTGGTAACCACATGTGCATTTTGAGACTGTGAAATGTTCGTGTGAGTAAACAATGAAATTTTAAGTTTTATGTAATTTTGAACAACTGAATATCACAACCACATGTAGCCAGTAGATACTAAAGTGAAGGGAATGTAAAAGGCTATCTAATCTATAACGTATGCAGTTCATACCCAAGTTTTAGGGGAGGTTGTTTTAAATCAACACCAATATGGACTCAGGCAGTTTAAATCACATGGAAAGAGTAACTTGGAACTTTCAGGAAGGTGTCTTTGTCTCCTGTTTCAGCTTTCTTTCTCATGGTGGTTCTTACAGATTCAAGTACTATGTGGATGAGCCACAAACACGGACCAGTGTTCGTACTGTGCTTCAGTGTCAAAGCCTTACACTGGGGGACTGATACTCACAACCTTCCATCTTCATCGGGGCAGAATATAAACTCCTGCTCACGGGTTCCCACTTTACCACAGACAACCACAGCAAAACAAGCAAATGGTTCATAGTTTCCTGAGTCAAAGCCAGTGAGGAGGTCATGGCACCCGGGGAGGTGTCTAGTCTTTTGCCCTTTTTTTATTTTATCTTAAATTTTTTCTTACATTTTTTTTTGTCGGAGTTAAATGTCTAGTGTCCAGCAGGCTGGTCAATAAAACTAAAAGAAGTCCCCCTAGGCAAGAAGACTTGATAGAGCAGAGGTGTAGGAAGAAGGCACGCAGGATACATATTTTTCCTCCTTATCTTTACAGAAAGCCTTGGGTACAATGTAAGACAACCTTACTTAAATACAGCAAACATTTTAAAAAAATCTTCAAAATTTATTTTAATTTAAAAACTCATTTTATAGTATTTTTGAATTTTATAACTTTTGTGATTATACTCCAGTGACACACACAATTACTAGTATATGATAGGTGGTTAATATGTTTAAATAAATGAGCTGTGTAATTAAATCAATAAACATCGAGGGACTAGTTAATTTTGTTAATTAAAAGCAAGCACTCTGAACTGGAAGACACCCCCTTCAGCACGTCCTGGGAAGTACTCACCTGGAGAGTGTTTGCTGGATGCAGTCAAAGCTGCCCTGAGGGTTATCTTTCCCCACGTTTGACAGGTAGAAGTTAAAGTTGTGGACTTCACTGAGGGGATCATTCTTGGGAATTTTGACAAGCTAAAAGGTGGGAGAGAGAGAGAAACACTTCAGTGCTTATGAAGTTCTGCCTCACTGGTTGTCCAAGTCAATCATCCATCTTCATAGCATTTAAATGACCAAATAGTTCAAGCAATCTGACATGCTTATAACTCATCACAATCTTTCTTCATTTCTACCCTTAAGTGTGGGTATCACTCCTGTTCAGACATGAGAGCTGCTGAACAGCTTCTAGATGATATAATGGTCTCTGAGGTATATTCCACAATCCAATCTTTTGCTGTCTTAATACATATTTCATATCTTTATTCCTTACTTTTTTGAATAGTACTTTTGAAGAATAATAACTAGCAACACAAAGCATAAGTGCAGTTTGGGGTGTGTCTTGATGTCCCATGGTTCCCTCATCCACTCTCATGTTTATGCAACAGGGTCAACAGCCCCCAGAAGACATACTGCAAGTCCTGCCCCAGCTGAGCTCTGCGCAACACTCGGAAATGGGCAGGCATGGTTTTCTTTCTAGTTGTTTTTGAGACAAGGCTGGTCTTCAACTCATAGAAGTCGAGGCAGGCCTTGTACTCCTGTCTTCCTGCTTCTACCCTCCCAAGTGCTGGAATTAGAGATATCTGGCCAGGTTTTTTTTTTTTTTTTCTGAGGCCTTGCTCAATTCTTGTTTCCCTACTAGGTGAGACTAGAATGCCTATCAGCAAGGATTCCTTTTGATGCTCTGGGTCTGAATCAGATATACTTCCTGTGCTCAGTAAACTTGTGTCAAGGAATTAGAATCTTCTATCAATTGCTTCTCCTTTCTCAGCACCTGAAGCTTTTCTTCTCTTTGGTTTACAGGGCTGCCACCATGTTTAGTGATGGTTATAAAAAAGGATATGTAGGTATGCAAAACATACTGGATCTCAGTAACATAGCAGGCAAGTAGGAAGGGACATCATGTTCAGCAACAGCCATTCTGCTCAAAAATACATCCTCTCTTTGTGACTGATCACAAAGAGTTAACTGGCTCTACACATGTGTCGCAACCACAGATGTGCTAGTGAGTGCATCCCTGTGTCATCCCTGTCTGAGCAGAGGACACCCCTGACTCAGGCCATATAGGGAAGTTCAAGCTAAGATGGTCTTGCAGCCACCATCTCCAACTCCCAGAAGAAAGGAAGGAAAGCTAAGAATGGACTAATGTCTGTTGTCTGGAAATGGTAATCATGTAATAATTAACTGCTCAAGGAATGAGAACTTGAAGAGACGCATGTTTTCCACAGAGGTTCAAAAGATTGTGTAGAGCTAGAAAGATTGTTGAATATCAGATAATCCATACAGCTTTTATTATCCATCAGTTTCAATGATCTTTGTCTCTTTATTGTGAATTAGTCCCAATTCCTGAAGAACCAAGTGTCCACTTATTATTTACTCTATAAATATCTGGGTGGGGGGGGGAAGGTTGCTATAGTTACTCTCTATTTCCCTTATATTTCTACCAGTTCTAAAATGCATTACCTTTGTGAACATGTCTTAATTTACTATGTTTATAGGTACTTATCAAGCTTACTTAGCAGGTGTACAAATGCCATCCCTAGTTGGTATATATGCAACATCTCAATCCTTTATTTCTGAGGAATGCAAGAGTCAAAAGGATGCTATCACTGAACACAGGAGTACATAAATTCCACCTTTGTGCTAGTGCATGCACATACTCACACAGTGTTCATTTGTTTCTTTTCCCTGAGAGGAGCAGGGTCCTGCTGACAAAGGAGTACCACAGCCTAATGCCTTCCTAAGGCCTGGGAGAGGAAGTGAAAAGGTTGGAAAGGTATGGACTTCTGAATGAAATCCTCCTCAACCATGATTCTTAACTTATATCCACTCTCAAGCCTAACCCTCCATTTCAGTTTGCAGAAACTGACTGTTGGGGAGATTTTTCCTAATGGTTGAGGTCTCATTGTCAGGCTGTGGCCTAAAGTTTTTCCTTTTGTGAATCTCAGACTTGGAAATACAATACCACTTTTCTGCTGAGAGTACAGAAGATTTATCCTACTTATTAGATTTTAGCCTACATTTAAAAAACTAGAATCATATTTATATTTTTCATTTTTTAAAGAGAGTAGACATACATAAATTTTACAAATGTATATTACTCTTTCACCAAAAAGTTTTAGCTAACTCACATCTTTAGCTCAGATGTCTAATAAACAGAGCTTCACAGAATAGCTCTATGTCTTTTAAAAACCACACACACACAGGCCTGAGGTTGATGATGGTGGCTTCTTTGACTGCTCCCCACTTTATATATTGAGGAAGGGCCTCTCACTGGACTTGGAGCTGACTGTTTCAGCCAGTTTGCTTTGGGGCTTCCCTGTTTCTACCTCGCACGTGCTGGGATTACATGTGCAGCCAAGTCCACCCAGCGTTTTATGTAAGTTTTGGGTATCCAAACTCCTGTCCTCATGCTTCTCTGCAAGCACTTTACCCACTGAGCCATTTCCCCAAATACCCTGCAGTCTTTTATACGAAGTATATATTTTTCCTTTCTTATCTTCCAAATTTCTAAAGTAACACTGAGAGTCTTAAAGATGAGACAATTATCTTCTTAAACATTTACTTATTTAACATGCATGCATGTAATTAGGCTATTATCTCAAATTGGAGAATCCCATCACAAATATATTTTGCTTGAAGTAATCACTGTGTACACTACTCACCATGTTCAGATCTGGCCTAAGGTAGATTACAGGAGACTTTCATATTCTCATTCTTTAAAAGTCTCTTTGAGTGGTGGAAAAAGCTATGCTCATTTGAAAAATATGATCATTACCAGAATAGGAGAGAATCACAATGAAAAATATGTTTGTATAACTGGCTCAATGCCCTCACTGAAGGGTTTGAAATTTATTACACACAGGTTCAAATGGAACAAGGGGTGATTTGGCCACCCCTCTAAGAGGTCTGGGAAGATATTTCTGGCACCTAGTGGGAAATCAGAGATACTGATGAAATACAGTGCACAGCCTCCGAATTGCCCAGACTGAAAAGCCAAAGATCATACGGAAACTTTGGGTTAGAAACAGGTTTAAGTTGATGCCTTTAAAAAGAAGTTGGAATTCATAGTCCACTGACTTCTATATAAGAGAAAACTATGTTTTTAAAGAAATAAAGTACCTATTTCAAACAAAAGGAGCCATTTTACTTTGAGTCCTTAGTTCAGTCTTATAACTTCCAGTGAGAAAATTGAAGAGCAGGAAAGATTAGTAAGAACATATGAGCCACGGAATAGCTAACTATTCTTTGAATATGGCTTATGCACATTTATTTGCTTTTCTTTCTCTAATTGGAAGTCACAAAACTTAAGGTATTTAGCTAAAAGTTTCAAATAGATCATGAGTCCTTAAAGACATTCCCCTGACTAGAGGAGAAGCTTAAAATACTCAAAATTAAAATGGAGAAGTTCCTCTCTCACCAAGGGACGTTCTTGCAAGATTGCTTCTAAATCAGGCCCCAGAGCTGATTTCCCACGGTAGTTAGCCCAGTCCTCACGGCTGAGCCCAGGTCCATGCAGAACAGTACGTGTCCTCCCACACCCCACTGCTTCCTGTGCACCATACATCTGAAGGCTGGTACTTAAATGAAAATAAGGTGCTATCTAGATAGATGATAGGACAAGATCCCTACGTCACAGCAGAATGGTGCATACTGTCAGTTCTACTGAAATTCTAGCTCTCTAATGGCTCTGAATTAAGGTCTCAGACCCACCCCAGATATGGCCTTCACTGGATTCTCCTAGTTTAGTCTTTTGTCCCCCACCTGCTCTAATTGACATATACAACCTGTCTTTTCCAGTATGTCAGTTTTTCTGCTCAGGGGCTAAGGTGCTAGACAGAGATGCCAGCTGGAGACCTAAGTGTTACTTTATACGGCCATTTCATTCTTGAAGGCCTACTTAAATATCTAACAAATAAACTGCATCCAATTTCTATCTTGAGAATGAAATATTATTTAGAAAGTATTAAAGATTGCTGGTTTCAGTTTCTTATTTAGGATTAAGGGTATAGAAATGTATCACCATATCCACATAATTGGAAAAGTAGTTATTAATTTTCATTACAAAAACGAGACTAAACATCAAAGGCTCAGGTCCACAATCCACAACCTTCTTCGCCAACAGCAGTCTGCCCTCGATAAAAAGCTATGAAAAAGTTCCAGGAAACTTTCAGACATTTATAATTAACATAGGCACTGTATACCATGGTGTGTAAGTCAAGGCTTCTAATTATTCAGATACAGGCTCAGGCATGTGGCAATGGAGTACTGTCGAAAGGTCATTTCAACATCAGTCACAGACCTGCTACCTCAAGGATCTAGGGCAGAAGTGCATGCACACACTGCTGAAACTTTCACATGCATGCACACTGATATCTGCATAACAGTGGTTGGTACCTGTGCAGCAGAGGTCCCCTACTGTTAAGTAAAATACTTTCCACTCCATATTGGATCAAAGTATATGCTACATTAAAAACAAAACCAGTAAGGCCTTCTCATTTAATTAAATGTTTTGTATTGTGGATATTACAAAAGACTTAAATGGCAGTGCTCTTCTTTGGCAGTAATTATATGAGCGTTAATACCTAACCTTTTCTGCTACATTGACTGTAAATGCTCAATAAGACATTTATGAACCAGCAGTGCTACAGTTTGATATGGCAGCTCTTGGGGTTGAAGCTGAACCACAGGACAAGGGGAGTCCAGGTCATTTTTTCACATTTCTTCATTTTATAAATTAGAGACAAAGAGGCTCAGTGAGCTGTTTGAGGTTATATTCACACTTAAAATTGCCACCCCTATACTCTCAGACCACTTTCTCTGTTCCATGGCTGTCTGAAACACTCATTACCTTGTAATACTAAGATATTATGTTTATAGCATTTCTTCCCCCACTAGAATATAAGCTGTTCAAAGACAGACACCTTTGTGTGCTTGTGAATGTACTGCCAGCATCTTAAATGGTGCAGAGCACAAAG